CCAGGGGGAGGTGCATCTCTGATCAGCTTAAAAGGATATTGGAGCGGGAAGGCAAGGATCCAGTTGTTGTGGTTCATGTTGGGTCAAACAATATAAGCAAGGCTAGAAAGAAGGACCTGTTTGGGGATTATCAAGCACTAGGAATGAAATTAAGGAACAGGTCCTCAAGGTTTATTATCTCCGGATTACTACCCGAGCCATGTGCAAACTGGTTTAGGGATAAGAAAATTAGGGAAGTAAACACATGGCTAAAGGAGTGGTGTGGGAAAGAGGGGTTCCATTTCATGGGGCATTGACATCAGTTTTGGAACAGGGGGAATCTGTACCGTTGCGACAGTCTCCACCTGAACTGATGTGGAACTCGTGTTCTAGCGAAAAGGATAAATAGGGTGGTCAGTAGGACTTTCAAAGAGTGAATTAGGAGGAGGGGGAAGGGGGAAGGAGGAAGGAGGAAAGAGAAAACAACAGGGAGTACGATGGTAAATAGAAAAGAAAGCAGCAGGTTAACGTGTGCTGGGAGGGGTTTAACTACATCAAAGACTATGAAAGAAGTTAAAAAGGGAAACTGAGGAGATATTTTTAATGGAGATGTTAGAATTCAAAAAGGTATAAAAATTAGCATAAAGGCACTTTACCTGAATGCTCAGAGCATTCGAAATGAGGTAGGTAGATGAGTTGACGGCAAAAACCATCACAAATGAGTATGATTTACAGCCATTACAGAGACATGGTTGCAGGATGGTCATTGGAAATTAAATATTCAGCGGTATCAGACTATTCAGAAGGACAGACAGGAAGCTAAGGGGAGTGGTGTAACCATAATATTTAAGGATGACATCAGGGCAGTAGTGAAAGATGATACAAGTTCTATGGAGAATAAGGTTCAATCCATTTGGGTGGAAATTAGAAATTCTAAGAAAAAAAGTCACTGATAGGTGTAGTCTATAAGCCACCAAATAAATAACATCACATTAGGACAGGAAATAAACATCACAGACTCCCCACAGCGAGCAAACAGGCCCTTCGGCCCAACAAGTCCACACAGACCCATCCTCTAAACCTACATTTCCTATAGCTAACGTAACTAACCTACACATCCCTGAATACTATGGGCAATTTAGTATGGCCACTTCAACTAACTTGCACATCTTTGGACTGTGGGAGGAAACCGGAGCATCTGGCAGAAACCCACGCTGACACAGGGAGAAAGTGCAAACTCCACACAGACAATCACCAAGGCTGCAATTGAACCTGGGTCCCTGGCGCTGTGAGGTAGCAGTGCTAACCACTGAGCCACTGTGCCACTGTGCCCCCACTGAGGTGAGGCCACACTTGGAGTATTGTATTCAGTTTTGGTCACCTTGCTATAAGAAGGATGTTATTAAACTGGAAAAAAAAGAGTGCAGAAAAAATTTACAAGGATGTTGCCAGGACTCAAGGAACTGAGTTATAGGGAGAGGTTTTCTTTAGAGCATGGGAGACTGCAGGGGCATCTTATAGAAGTGTATAAGATCATGAGAGGCATGGATATTATGAATGCACTCAGTCTTTTTGCCATGGCTGGGGAATCGAAGACGAGAGGGCATCAGTTTAAGGTAACAGGGGGAAGAATACATGGGAACCTGAGAGGCAACTTTTTTTACACAGAGGGTGGTACGCATGTGGAATGAGCTGCCAGCTGAAGTGGTTGAAACGGGCATATTAACAACATTTAAAAGGCATTTGTACGAATACATAGATAGGAAAGGTTTAGAAGGATATGGGCCAACTGCAGGGAAATGGGGTTAACGTGGATGGTCATTTTGGTCGGCATGGACCAATTTGGGCCGAAGGACCTATCTCCATGCTGTAGGACTCCATGACTCTAAACAGAGAAATAACTAATGCCTGTAAAAATGGTACAGCAACTATCATGGGGGATTTAAATCTATATATTGATTGTTCGAACCAGGTTGATTAAGGCAGCCTTGGGGAGGAGTTCATTGAATGCATCCGTAATAGTTTTCTTGAACAGTATTTAATGGAACAGAAGAGAGAGCCACTATCCTGGATCTGGTCCTTTGTAACGAAACAGGAATATTTAGCGATCTCATAGTTAGGCATCCTCTTGGAAGGAGTGATCACAGTATAGTTGAATTTAGAATACGGATGGAAAGTGAGAAGATAAAATCCAATATCTGGGTCCTGTGCTCAAACAAAGGAGACTACAATAGGAAGAGGGAGGAGTTAGCTAAAGTAGACTGGAAAGACTCAATGGTGTAACAGTTGACTAACAGTGGAGGACTTTCAAAGCAATTTTTCAAAGTGCTCAGCAAAAGTATATATCAGTGATAAAGAAGGACTGAAGAAAAAGGGGTAATCAGTCACGGATGTCCAAGGAAATGAGAGGCTATCAAATTGAAAGATAAGTCATACAAAGTGGCAAAGACCAGTGGGAAACTAGAAGATTGCGAAAACCTTAAACGTCAACAAAAAGCCACAAAAAAGAAAGCTATGAAGAAAAGTGAGATAGATTATGAGAGTAAACTAGCTCAGATTATAAAGACAGATAGCAAAAGTTTCTACAAACATAAAATAAGAGTGGTGAAGGGAAACATTGGTTCTTTAGAGGATGAGAAGGGCAATTTAGTAATGGGAAATGAAGAAATAGCCGAAACAGCGAACAGGTATTGTGTATTGGACTTCACAGCAGAGGACACATGCCAGTAATTGACAACAAGGAGACCAAGGCACGTGAGGACCTAAAAACGATCATTATCATGATAGAGGTAGTGTTGGGCTAATGGAGCTAAAGGTAGACAAGTCTCCTGGCCCTGATGGAATGCATCCCAGGATACAAACAGACAGCAGGAGAAATAGTAAATGTGCTCGCGGTAATTTTCCAACATTCACTGGACTCTAGGGTAGTTCCAGCAGATTGGAAAACAGTCAGTGTGATGTCACTGTTTAAAAAAGGAGGTAAGCAAAATATGAGGAATTTATAGGCCAGTTAGCTGAACTTCTGTAGTGGGGAAAATGCCTGAATCTATCAAGGAAGAAATAACAAGATATCTCAATAGAAATTATCCCATGGGGCAGACGCAACATGGGTTCACGAAGGGCAGGTCACGTTTAACTAATTTACTGGAATTCTATGAAGATATTACGAGCATAGTGGAAAATGGGGACCCAGTAGATGTAGTGCATCTTGATTTCCAAAAGGCATTCGACAAGGTGCTGCACAGAAGGTTGCTGCATAAAATAAAGATGCACAGCGTCATGGGTAATATATTAGCATAGATTGAGGATTGGTTAACTAACTGGAAGCAAAGAGTGAGGATAAACAAGTGCTTTTCTGGTTGGTGATCAGTGACTAGTGATGTGGCTAAGGAATCAGTGTTGGGACTGCAATTATTCACAATTTACATAGATGATTTGGAGTTGGGGACCACGCATAGTGTGTCAAAGTTTGCAGATGACACTAAGATGAGTGGTAGAGCAAAGTGTGCAGAAGACACTGAAAGTCTGCAGAGTGATATAGACAGTTTAAGTGAGTGGGCAGGGGTTGGGCAGATGGAGTACAATGTCGATAAATGTGAAGTCATCCATTTTGGTAGGAATAACAGTAAAAATGACTATTTGAATGGCAAAAAATTGTAACATGCTGCTGTGCAGAGGGACCTGGTGTCCTTCTGCATGAATCTCAGAAGGTTGGTTTGCAGGTGCAGCAGATAATTAAGAAAGCAAATGGAATATTGACCTTCATTGCTCGAGGGATGGAGTCTAAAAATAGGGAGTTATGTTACAGCTGTAGAATGCGCTGGTGAGGCCACACCTGGAGTACTGTGTACAGTTTTGGTCTCCTTACTTGTGAAATAATGCACTGGCACTGGAGAGGGTGCAGAGATGATTCACTGGGTGGATTCTGGAGTTGAGCGGGTTGGTTTATGAGGGGAGACTGAATAGATTGGGATTATATTCATTGGAATTTAGAAGAATGAGGTGGGATCTTAGGGAAACATATAAAATTATGAGGAGAAGAGGTAAGATAGAAACAGGGAGGTTGTTTCCACTGGCGGGTGAAACTAGAACAAGAGGGCATAGCCTCAAGGTTAGGGGGAGCAGATTTTGGACTGAATTGAGCAGGAACTTCTTCACCCAAAGGGTTGTGAATCTGTGGAATTCTCTGCCCAGTGAAGCAGTTGAGGCTTCCTCATTGAATGTTTTTAAAGCTAAGCTAGATAATTTTTTTGAACAGTGAAGGAATTAAGGGTTATGGTGAGAGGGTGAGTAGGTGAAGCTGAGGCCACAAAAAGACCAGCCATGATCTTACTGAATGGCGGAGCAGACTTGAAGGGCCACAGTGCCTACTCCAGCTCCCGGTTCTTATGTTCTAACTGTTCAACCACATAGCCTATACACCTAAATCCATCTTTGACAGAATAGGATTCAAGAAAAGATGGAAGTAAACAAGAACAGAACATTGAATGATGGAGCTGGTGTGAGGGGCACAATCAGAGAGAGTCATAGAGCACAGAAACAGGCCCTTTGGTCCAACCAGTCCATGCCAAACATCATCCCAAACTAAACTAGACCCATCTGCCTGCACCTTCCCCATATTGCCCCAAACACTTCTTATTCATGTACTTAAGCAAATGTCTATTAAACATTGTAATTGTACCTGCATTCAACACTTCCTTCAAGTTCATTCCATAGACGAATGACTGTTAAAAAAAACTGCCCCTCATATCTCTTAAATATTTCTCCTCACCTTAAAAATATGCCCGCTAGTCTTGAAATCCCACACTCTAGGGAAAAGACACCTGCCATTCCCTTTACCCCTCATGAATGATGGATGTTGTGTATCTCAACTCCACTCACTCTCCTTTGCTCCACATCCAATTTTGTCACTTACTGATAACAAGCCTCATAAACAAAACAAATATACGAGTGAATAAAATCTTCTGAAACATAACAATGTAATAAGTAAAAGTAAGTTTGCACGGATGATGAATACTCACTGAATTCTCCAACAAGAGACACAGATTTTGCTCCGGGAGCCCACTCTTTGCAGTAAATTCCCCCATCAGCCAATCGATTGACACCAAAGCTTTCATAGCTGCGGGAAAACTGATCTAGGCTTCCTTCATTCTCTTCAATACTTCTTGCCAAGCTTCTAAATTTATCGTACCTATGGTGGATGGTTAAAAAATATAAAGTTTTAGAGAAAGTTACGGTAAAAGCAGTTAAAATGGTAAAGGATAACTAGCAGGAATTGAAACTTTGAAATATATGAATATAACTTAATATTATCTATTTTCAAAAGCCGATAACATTTCAGAAATTGGGTTGGGTCGGGTCATGATATTTCTGTTTCAGTTCACCAGAACACACAATGAAGAACAGCAAGGCACAATGGGTTAGGACCATATTGGTACTCAACCAGCATCTGCAATCTCCACTGTTAGAAGGAATCAATTTCTTCAAACAAAAAGTGAGAGGAGAGAATCTCAGAAGAAAATGATGGAGGTTTATGCTTGCAACAAAGATTTGCCTCAAAGTAAGTGCAACTGAAATACTCCACAGGCACAGGGAACGCTCTTCTTCCAAGAAGGGTTTACTCACTTATGGAAAAAGCACACACAGGATTGACAAAACTCAGTTTTCAAGTGGCATTAGCACAGAGTGACAGTTACCAATGATCATTAAATTCAGGACCCATGCTGCTGCAAAATGACCATTCCAAAACACTGATCCTGTAATTTTTTTGACAGATGGTGTTGCTGGGAATGCTCCAAATTCAATTTCAGCTCTCAGGGCCCTTTACAACCTCCCCAACCCCTGGCTATAGCACTTTTTGCACTGCAATTGGCTGTAACCAGCCTCAAATACAATGGAAAAAATTATTCAGAATCAAAGATAGATTGATGCTAGAGTTGGCAAAGAAAAAAATGAATGAATGGTGGGTTAACAGTTTATGGTCATGCTCACTTACAAACTGACTTGTACCAACTTGTACTCTGATATTCAATTAACGACTTTATTCGATCCAAATCCTCCTGTCTCCTATTTTCTTAAAATCTTCGTGCAATTTTTATGCATTGGAGGAAGCTCAGTGGGTAGCACGTTCCGGTCATTTCAGCTGATTCTTCAGTGCATTACTGAAGCAGTGTTGCACTGACAGAGATGCTTTTTCTAAGATATTGCTATATGAAATTAGTTGTTGCTGACCCGCTTGACCTTCAGTGCAGCATAACAGTAGGTCCATTTACAGGATGCCCTGCAGCAATCTATCAACGTTTCTTCAAAACGACCTTCAATTTCTTCAATCAACATGACGAGGTGCAACAGGCACACAGGAACACCACACACTAAGTCATACATATTACTAACACTAAAATGTCATCAATCATGGACATGCGAATGGGACATTATGGAATCTGCAGTCATGCGATGAAGAAAGAGCATCTTCCAATGCTGGTACCCTTGCCTTACTTTACCATGATTTAAATACTTTAAAAAAAACCTGATGCTCGCTCCCACCCAATGCACGCCCCAACCATTTTATGGCATGGGTTGTATAAAACTAGGGTCAACTGAGCTTTCAGAAAGTTGAGTTGCCCATTTATTCACATCTGGTGGGTCTTGCCAATTTTAATATCTACCCATCCTTTGTGGTCTGCGATTAAACTTATGGATGGGTGGGTAGGAAGGTGACGTGCTGGTCACCTACTTTATCTTAGATACTACCTCACCCAAAATACACCCACTGGGGGCACATAGTATCCAGCCCAAGGCAAAAGAGAATGATATTAATATGGGAAATGATAAACAGACCATGACAGGAAGTGATAAAAAGTACAAACCTAAGATTAAACCAACGGACAAGACAAGAGGAGTCGACAAAAATTAGAAAAGCAACAAAACTCAAGACAGTCTACCTGCATGTATTTAAAATTTTAAACAAAACAAATGAAATAATACCACAAACAAAACAACCAATATTCATTTTGTTGCGCTGAACTTGAACACCGCTGAAAAAATACATTTTTTCTAAGTATTTGTCTTGCATCCATCAGGTCATTTTGCAAGAATACTAATTTACAGGGAAAACCAACATTTATACTGTATTAGAGGAGTGCCAATTCGTTCTCATTGGGTGCTCCAGACATTGCCACAAACTAGACTATCCAACAAGGGAAAATGACCTCTCAGCATCTACCCTGTCAAGTCCCCTAAGACTTTTGTAATTCAATAAGATATTAGTATAATACATAGGGATCATTCAACAGAGAGGGCTTAAGCAAAGGGGATATAGTAGGTTTGGACAAAGATGAGAAATACCAAGAAGTCATTTATCAAAGTGGTGTACCAGATTTCCAACAATAATCACAAGATGGAAAAGAGCATAAAGGAGGAAATAAGGAGCTTGTCTGGCAGGTACAGCAATAATTATGAAGGATTTTAACCTCCATATAAATTGGAGAAGGTGGATGGGCATAGACGCCTAGCTGAGGAACTTAGAGAAAGTTTTCAGGATTCCTTCTTAATGACAATATGTTCTGGAGCCAACCAAAGAACACGTTATACTTTGCCCAATATGTTGTAACGAAATAGGATTAATTAATGCTCTCATGGGAAAGGCATCCCTGTGTAACAGTAATCTTGCAGATTGAATTTTGCATTCTGTTTGAGAGACAAAAGCAGATCCATGATCAGTATTTTAAATTTAAGGACAATGAGGGTGCAAAAACAGAACTGAAGTGAACTGGTAAATGGGATTAGAGATGGGTCAACAGAGATGCAATGGCAGACATTTAAAGAGACATTTTAGAATTCACAAAATATATTCCAAGGATCTGGCATCCGTAGTTACCTAAAAAAAATGAATATCAAACTTAAAGAAAAATCATATTGCACAACTGGACAGGGTATAACAAACAGCAAGAGATGACAAGAAAAGCTAGCTGGAAACAAAATAAAGATAGTAAAAGTTTTTATAGTTTTTTACAAAAGTTAAAAGTGAACACTGGTCCTGTGAAGGGTTGGTTTTTGAAATTAGTGACAAAAACTAAGTAAAGACAGAACTGAATGAGTATTGTGCACGGCTCTTCTTTACAAAGGAAACAAGTAACATCTCAGAAATAGGTGATGAACCAGGAAAAGAGACAGGGATATAACGCTGAGTAAATTGATGGATATCTGGGCTGACAAATCCCCAGGTTCAGATGGACTACACCTAGAGTCTTAAATGAAGTGACCAGTGAGATAATTGACACGTCCTTTCTAATTTTCCAAATCTTGCAAGAGTCAGACACTCTAGCCAGAGCTCCTCTGCTTGCCAGTTCCTTTTTCCTCTTTCTTTCTTTCTTTTGCCTCCTGCTGCAGTTTCCAGCCCCACCCACCCCATCAATTTTTAACTTCTTAAAGTACCCTACCGGGAGAGAATGGAGAATGGAGTCCGAGACCAGCCCGGTGTCGGAAACAAGTCTCAACCAGAGGGGCCGAGTCGCAGAAGTGAGTCACAGCCAGTGCAAGAGCAGAGTGTGCGCAGGCCAAGCTGGGAACCAAGTTGCGGTTGGAGCCGGAGCAGAGCAAGTGTGGGCCGAGCTGGGAACCAAGTCATGGCTGGATCCGGAGCAGGAGCAGAGCAAGTGTGGGCCAAGCTCGGAGCCGAGTCGCAGCCGGAGCCAGAGCCAAAGCAGGAGCACAGCAAGCACGGGCCAGACAGGGGGGCGAGTCCTGGACAGATGCCAGCGCACTGCAGGCCACGAGGCCTCGTGTTCTGAAGCCCGGCTGGCATGGACTCAATGAGAAAGGACCATAACTTGCGTACTTTAAGACCTTTTTATCTCATTCTGGACTTTTAAACTCTGTATTCCCATGCTAGTCCTTTATTTACTACAGGTATTTCTGCTATAACGCGTGTTTTGTTAACGCGAATTGGCTGTAATGCGATTGATGAATCGTGGACGCTGTTTGAATAGCGCAAACTTTTTGCTGTCCAAGTATAGCAATTTTCTAAAGAAATTTCCCTATAATGTGATTTTCTATAGCACAAGGTCACACAAGAACGCAACTATTGCGTTATAGGAGAAATACCTTTATTTCAATTCTGTAGCAACTCAGTGTCTGTACCTAGGTACCCTGTAACTAATACAGCGCCGAGAGGCAACAATACAAACATTTCACTGCAAATGGACTTAGTGAATAATACTAATAGTAATCAGTAGTTATAAAACAGCAAATCCTGCACTCACTATTAATAACAGGGCAGACAATCTGCTAAAGTTACAGGTGGAAACCACTTAGATACAGCTAGCTGATTGGACATCTATGAAATAAAGTTCTGAATTCTAAATCACTACAAGTTAAAAAACTGAGGTTACTGTAATGCATTGATATTGAAATTACTGAAAGGGAAATGTTTGCAACACTAAGGACTGAATGATGTCCTTCTTTGCTGCAATACGCTGTGATTCAATGGTATCAGGCAAGAACTGGGGCGAAATAAAGAAAATCGGACAGTGACTGTACATTCAATATAGATCACACCCTGTCACTAACGCACACCAATTAACAAACTACACAATGTGGAGCTATGTCCCTGTACTATATCGATCTGAGAAATTAGCGAGAGCCTGGGTGACCAAATACTGGCTGCTTATATTTTTTGAAGTGATTACATTTGAATAATTTAAGCTAAGAAGCATAAATAAGAAAAGCACACTAAAAGAAATCAAATCTTTTGAATTAAAAGTCACCTGTACTAATCAGCATAAAAGTAAACAAATACCACGAAATACTGCAAACCAAAATTCCTCTTTCATTTTTCTCCATAAACAAAAACATAACAAGTCAATCAGAAACATCATTATGTGAATTCCCGCAGGAAACTGACTTCAACAACTCACATTTATACAGTGCTTGCAGCACAGTAAAATGTCCCAAGGCACCTCGCAGGAATGTAAACTGAAAAAATATTAGCACCAAGCCAAGGAGAGATACTAGCACAGGTGACTAAAAACTTGTCAAAGGAGGGCTTTTTCTTAATATACATACAAGTGCCTGAAAGGGGAAGACAAGTGGAGAGGGAAACAAGTTTAGAAAGTGAACTTCAGACTTCATTATCTGAAGGTACAGCTGCAACTGGATTGGGGAGGCAGAGGGGGTTTGAAAATGGAGTCGGAG